AATGGTGTAAAATTTTAAGTTCGGTCAAAAATACGTGTCTACAGTTTGCCCCTCTTTGACTGGAAACACAAAGAGTTTTCAGACAAAGAAGTAGACAACGTGACAAGTTTTGACTGGACTCTTATTCGAAAAGAAAAATATGCGACCGAGTCCTCATTTTGGACATCCTACATATCTCGGGTTATAAGGGAATCAGGTCACCTGTAGTTCGATGAGATGAAATGATGAGTTGGAAGTCGAGTGAGGTCCCCTCGAGGCTCCAGTTCGCGACTCCTATTGTTACATGAATACAAAAGACGAAAAATTTAAAGGAAATACAAGTACACGACCCTATCTATGTAGCTTCTCTTTAACCTTGACTTGAGTCTTCGTGCATCTTGAGTTATGAGATATTGATTTTCATCTCAAATGAGTTCAAAGGTAAACGTCTTTTTCCAGGTAGGTTCCTTTTACTCGTACTTGGTTATTGACTGTGTGTTTTTTTTTAAGAATGAGCTCCTGCTTCTTCAATCGAAATTGAGCTTGAAAATTACACTATTTTCTATCCAAGATCCTGAGCTGGAAATGTGGATTGACCCCATTCTATCACTAGATTCCTGAAATTAAAATAAACAAAAATAATAACACAAAATTTTGCCCCAGTTTAATATAAGAAAATTTTGTGAGAGAAATAAAAGATGGTGCTTAGCTTTGAATCGAGACTTTGAACGATTCGAGCTTTGTCGCGATGTACTCTTTAGAGGGCTTATACGTGTTTACACCAACTCCATTCTTCATGATGAACCGATTGAATAAAATTATGTTAGTCTAGTCCTATTAAACAGGAGGGTCCTTGCTATACTACGTCCCATTATTCAGGAGGGTCCTAGCTACACTACGTCCCATTATTCAGGAGGGTCCTTGTTATACTACGTCCCATTGTTCAGGAGGGTCTTTGCTATATACTACACCATTATTCAAGAGGGTCCTTGCTACACTACGTCCCATTATTCAAGAGGGTCCTTGCTACACTACGTCCCATTATTCAAGAGGGTCCTTGCTACACTACGTCCCATTATTCAAGAGGGTCCTTGCTACACTACGTCCCATTATTCAAGAGGGTCCTTGCTACACTACGTCCCATTATTCAAGAGGGTCCTTGCTACACTACGTCCCATTATTCAAGAGGGTCCTTGCTACACTACGTCCCATTATTCAAGAGGGTCCTTGCTACACTACGTCCCATTATTCAAGAGGGTCCTTGCTACACTACGTCCCATTATTCAAGAGGGTCCTTGCTACACTACGTCCCATTATTCAAGAGGGTCCTTGCTACACTACGTCCCATTATTCAAGAGGGTCCTTGCTACACTACGTCCCATTATTCAAGAGGGTCCTTGCTACACTACGTCCCATTATTCAAGAGGGTCCTTGCTACACTACGTCCCATTATTCAAGAGGGTCCTTGCTACACTACGTCCCATTATTCAAGAGGGTCCTTGCTACACTACGTCCCATTATTCAAGAGGGTCCTTGCTACACTACGTCCCATTATTCAAGAGGGTCCTTGCTACACTACGTCCCATTATTCAAGAGGGTCCTTGCTACACTACGTCCCATTATTCAAGAGGGTCCTTGCTACACTACGTCCCATTATTCAAGAGGGTCCTTGCTACACTACGTCCCATTATTCAAGAGGGTCCTTGCTACACTACGTCCCATTATTCAAGAGGGTCCTTGCTACACTAAATCCCATTATTCAGGAGGGTCCTTGCTACACTACGTTCCATTGTTCATGAGGGTCCTTGCTATATACTATGTCCCATTATTCAAGAGGGTCCTTGCTATATACTACGTCCCATTATTCAGGAGGGTCATTGCTACACTACGTCCCATTGTTCAGGAGGATACTTGCTACACTACGTCCCATTATTCAGGAGGGTTCTTGCTACATTACATTCCATTATTCAGGAGGGTCCTAGCTACACTACGTCCCATTATTCAGGAGGGTCCTAGCTACACTACGTCCCATTATTCAGGAGGGTCCTAGCTACACTACGTCCCATTATTCAGGAGGGTCCTTGCTATACTACGTCCCATTATTCAGGAGGGTCCTTGCTA